CTGAGTGTCCAGGAAGGAGGAATTTCTATTCTGAACTGTGACTATACTAACAGCATGTTTGATTATTTCCTATGGTACAAAAAATACCCTGCTGAAGGTCCTACATTCCTGATATCTATACGTTCCGTTAAGGATAAAAATGAAGAGGGAAGATTCACAGTCTTCTTAAACAAAAGTGCCAAGCACCTCTCTCTGCACATTGGGGCCTCCCAGCCTGGAGATTCTGCAGTGTACCTCTGTGCAGCAAGCGCACAGTGCTCTGCAGGCACCTGCAGCCCATACTCAAACCTGCTTTGGGGACTCAGACTGGGAGGCACACAGACTCTCTTCCATTTACACACGGCAGTGTGAGAAATTATGCTTTGAAGTAAGTGAGGCAAGTTGAGCTTAAAAAAAGACTGATACATGACAAGCCTTACAAATAAGAAAGTTCCCTGAGTTTTAGAGTGTTTAAGAGTCTAACCACTCTCCTTTTCTACCTTCAGAAAGAGGTTGCTGATTTAGCTAAAGCATAAATCTCTGGTGATGCTTTGCCTGTGCTAGCTTCTGGAATGAGGGTGCCCAGTCTCCCTTGTATACTAGGGGCCAAGAATGTGTGTTTGGAACGGGAAAACCAAGGTCACACTGTAGGTTCTTTCAGTGATGAACATTTCCTGAGATGTCGTTTCTTTTAGTTTTTCTCAGTGTACAGGCATTTCTGAGCAAAGAATTGCATATGTGAGTACTAACCTATGTATATCTGCATATCTATAAATATTTCTATATGTAGCATAACCATCAGTATCTATATTAAGTTAAGCATTCATTCTTATCGATGTCTCCAATGCTAAATCATTACCACATGGATCACACTAGCCTCCTCCCCTTGCTTATCCATAAATTCCCACTACAGGGGTGCACAGCCTGGCTCTCACTGTTAACAAAAAGTTATTCAGTAATACTTGTTACAACGTGGTGAGGCAGAATTTATTTAGGACCACCATGATAGGTACAGAGACCACTGCAACAGGACTTTGCAGTGAGGGAGAAGAATCAAACTCAACTCCGAATACAGCATAAACAAGTGGAGATTTCTAGCCAAGGGGCAGATTAGGGGTCAGTGAATGGGAAATTACTAAGAGGAAACATCAGAACCAAGGGATATTCTGGCTAGACTGGCCAAACAGGATTCTTGCTGAAGACAGGTCAGGGTAATCAGACATCAATCACCTGGGTGATGAAAGAGGATGAGGAACCCAGTTAGATATGGAGTGTAATCAGGTATCAAGCGGAGGATGGCGAGGGTAGCAGGGGAGGGTGTGGTTCTTGCTAAACTGACCTGGAAGGGATCTTGTTAAGACTAGATTTTACAAGAAAATGCAGAGATGACCTTAGGAGAAACTTCAAAGCCTGACTAAAGTTTGGTCAAGCAAATAATTTTTGTCATCACCACCCACTATTCATTTACATCATAGTCCAATTCCATTAAACATGTATAGTGGTATCAGAATTGTTACTTGTAGCTCCATGAGAAAGAATTTTATCACTTAAAGCACATTGCTGTATAATGGTAATAATGTCTAGATTATGTTGAACTTCTATTATTCCACCTGTTTTGTATGTATTACAATAACTAATTCTCCTAATAATTATTTAAGACAACTATTAGAATAATCCATGTTGTAGTAGAGAAAACAGGCTGTGGGAGTTCAGGGGTTTGCTCAGTATTACCAACTTTGTGAGAAAATAGAGTTCATGGTCACTCACCAAGTATGGGCCCGTCTTACAGAAGCTATTAACAAGTCATGCTTTTGAAACGCTAGCAATTTTTAAAATTCTTTTCTTTCTTTTCTTTTCTTTTTTTTTTTTTTTTTTTTTGAGACAGAGTTTCGCTCTGTCCCCCAGGCTGGAGTGCAGTGGCGCAATTTCGGCTCACTGCAAGCTCCGCCTCCCGGGTTCACGCCATTCTCCTGCCTCAGCCTCCCGAGTAGCTGGGTCCACAGGCGCCCACCACCGCGCCGGCTAAATTTTTGTATTTTTAGTAGAGACGGGGTTTCACCGTGTTAGCCAGGATGGTCTCGATCTCCTGACGTCGTGATCCGCCCGCCTCGGCCTCCCAAAGTGCTGGGATTATAGGAGTGAGCCACCGCGCCCGGCCTAATTTTTAAAATTCTTAGCATGGATTTCTTCATCATTGACCTAGAGAAGAGTGTGATTATCACTCGTAGAAAATTAAAAACTGAAATTATGGTTTTGTATGTATATTGTATTTGTAGGTAAATGATTAGAACTTGTTCCTCATTGGCTGATTTTCTGAAGCTGAAGATCTTTACAGTGAGAAGATACAGAAATTCAGGCTGCTTCCCAAGAAGCATGCAGAAGCCTCTGTAAGTCTCATCACTTATGGCTTAATCTGAACAGTGACTTGAGGAACAGTGATTTCAGGAATGCTGAAGACATTTTTGATCAGAATAGGAGTGATGCATAGCTTGGCTTAGCTTGGTTCATCTAGGGATCCTCATGGGGTTGGTTTAACTATGAGGTAAAATCTATAGGTTGATTAATTCTCTCATATTTAATTCTATATTCCTGAACATGGATGTAAAGCTAACTCAGTGTGAATTAGATTTATTATCCCTCCATATCCGGGAGCACCAATATCACATGCAGTATTTTTTCTGTTGTTTTTATGGCTTATATTGGTATAGGCAGGAAAAATTCCAAGATCCTTTTTGTAATGCATGTAGATGAGAATGAAAAGCAGGAAGGAATATTAAACATCACTCTTCATACTTAGGGTGTTCCACGCACATCTCGGGTTCCCACTCTAGAGTCTCAGCTACTCTGAATGGATAGTCTGCTGTGCATATTCATTGCTCATAGGCATCCAGAGCCTGTTCCCAAATTCAGAGCTGTAGCCACAGATCCCAGCAAAAGTGCAGGCACATGACAGTTGCTGCTGTCTTCTAGCAGGGTGTAGAGAAATGTAGCTATGATGAATCATTTCATTTCAGTTTCAAAAAATATGGAAATTCAGGTGAATAATCAGTCCAGTTACTATATATCCCTGCTCTTAACAAAACTATTTCAAATACCTTAAGACAATAAATCAGCTTTTCTTATTTTCAGATATATTTAACATGATTTATAAACTATTGAAATCCATTATAAATTTCTGTTACAATGGACATTTTTCACTCTAACTGCTGTTACATTTACCCCATTTCATGTCTTGCATAATGGGGAGGGAATATATTAATGCTGTCTTTATCTTTCTAAAGCAACATAGAATCATACCAGAAAAAGGAATACTGCATCCAGTGTCATCCCTGCCTTTTTGTTCAAGCTCTTCAGCCTGCTTCAACTTCCACATTTCATTCATTCCCACAGTTATCTATTTATATTCTTTTCTTATCTAGTGTATTTGGGAAACAGCATTGGAAAAAGCTACTTTCTAGCATTGTTCTAGCCATAAGTGTGTTATATCTTCTAGAGCAAGTGAATCAACTTCTTAACATTTTATATCAGGACCTTCATCTGTAATGCAAGGACAATGATTTCCAGCTAACATTGTTCTCAAGTTTTATTCATCTTCCTCAATTAGCAATTGTTAACTGGGTGCCTGCTGAGTTCTGCATAAATGTTACATGCTGGGAAAAAAAGAGCTATGGAAAAACACATAATATCTTCTTTCACTAAATGTGTAGTCTAATTAGTTATGTAGGCAACTAATCAAACAGAGTAAAGTGAAATGAGGCTAACCTTGGGAAAGCAAAGGGAGGTATGAAGGCATATGGAAAGTCCCACCTCCATCTTAGCCTTAGAGTTGAGTCAGGGGCAGCCTGGAGTATGTCTTGCCTATGCTGAGACCTAAAGAGTTAGTAGGAGTCAATCAAGTTTAAAGACAGAGAAGGTAGAGAAGATAGAAACAGCATGCACAAGGCGACACAGAACATAATGAGCCTGAGGACTAAAAGCCAGAATGACGCTATAATTAAAATTATATATGTCATAAAATGTTCAAACTACCACTGCAAAGTAGTTGTACCTTAATTCTCAGTTTTATAAATGAGTAACCATAATACTTGTGGGGTTACCAAATATGTTTTCTATTTACTTGAGATTTTACTTAATAAGGTTATTCATTTGATACCTAATATGTGTCTTAGACTCGAAAACAATAGATGCAAATGAGAAGAATAAGGCATTGTTTCTGCCTTCAGAGAACATGTAATATTGCAGAGTATATTACAATATCGTATAATAAAAGCTATCATAGGAGAAGCATAGAATATGACCATCTAACAGTGGCATTTAACTTGGAAACTTGAATGTAAGGGAAAACCACCTATGGGAGGTAGTATCTAAGTTAAGATTTGTAAAACAGTTAGCCAAAAATGGAGTCAGAGAAAGGGTATCATAGAAAAAGATAAATAGAATGTACAAAGACATGAAGTCAATATTTAGTTTAAGAGAATGACATTAAACTAATTCAGAATGGCCAGAGCATACAACTCACAATGTATATCGGTAAATATAAAACTAAAGCAATGAGCAGAAACCACTTTGTGAAAATAATTAAAAGCCATTATGAGATGTTCGTATATTACATTATCTTGAAGACAATGATGAGCACTCGAAGAAATCTGCACAAGTAAATAGTATCATGAAATGTCACCATTTGAAAGATTACTCTGAGTTCACATACTTATATATTATATCCATGTGTGGGTATGTATATAAAATATATATGTAAAGTAAAAAATATATATATAATAATTTTTTCCTTGATACTTCCTTTTTCTCTTAATTCTGAAGTAATTCTTTCTGTAAAACAGTATATGGATAGGCCCTTCTTATAGCAAGAAAAAAGCCTATCCTGGATGAAAACTTAAGAAAAGCCAAAATCCACAGTTTAGTCAACATTCCTCAGTCTGGCCACAGGGGAGAGCTGTTTAAAAAGTATTCTAGACAGATGCATTTAACTCTGTGCAGTTAAACTGTTGTGATGTGTCTGATTGGTTGCCCCCAAAGTTACAATATCCTGGAAACAATTACAACAGACCTTATTCTGAGTTCAAAACAACTCCTACTAAGGAAGCCCATTCAGAAGCTGACTGGACATTCTGGCAGGCCGAGGATGGAGACTCTCCTGAAAGTGCTTTCAGGCACCTTGTTGTGGCAGTTGACCTGTGAGTACACGATTCAGTCTGGGAGAGGTTGTGATATGACACCATCTTCATGACAATAGCTTTCTGTCTTGGGAAGGGCCCTTTTAAGAACCAGACCTAAGAAGCAAGGAAAATGTACTGTAATTATGTGGTGATGCTTAATGTTTTAAATAAGGAAGGAAGGAAGAAAATCACCCTTCCCTTCATGACACTGAGCGTCTCATTCGATTGTCTTTCTGATCAGGGGTGAGAAGCCAACAACCAGTGCAGAGTCCTCAAGCCGTGATCCTCCAAGAAGGGAAAGATGCTATCATCAACTGCAATTCCTCAAAGGCTTTATATTCCGTACACTGGTACAGGCAGAAGCATGGTGAAGCGCCCATCTTCCTGATGATATTACTGAAAGGTGGAGAACAGAAGAGTCATGACAAAATAGTCGCTACGTTTAACAAAAAAAAGCAGCAAAGCTCCCTGTACCTTATGGCCTCCCAGCTCAGTTACTCCGGAACCTACTTCTGTGGCGCAGAGACACAGTGACACCCAGGCCTCCAAGACCTGTACTCTAACCTAAAGCTGAGCCACAGGTGCTCACCTAGCACAGATGCTCACCACAGGAGTATGGGGAACTTACCAGAAGGCTCATCCATGATAAAAGAGAAACCTAAAGGAAATTCAGTTGCTTCAATATATAACACAAAAAGCAAGCCATGGCCTTGAGATCATATCTAATTTGGCATTGTTTTCTTGATAATTATTTAATTGCTTGGTAATTATATGACAGATAACTTAGATTCAGAGAAAATTACATAGATTTCAGTTTCAAAAACCAGAGTGAATTACTATTTGACTGAAGCTACACATATAAACTCCTTTTGGATCTCTGCATTCCTATCTGAAAGTGAAAAGTAACCTCTCTTTCTTCTCCTAGGTACCCACAGCTTGTCAATAGAAAGAAAAAAAAAAAAAAAAAAAAAAAAAAAAATTTGTCTGGTTCTTTCTTGGACATGAGGATTGTACACAGTAAGCATTTAGATTGTTAATCTTGTTACTTATCTGGAAAGGCCACTAGCAGTATTTTTTCCAAGGTTTTAAATATCTGTTTTGGGGAAATGGCATTTAGAAGTACTTCAATTTTATATTGGCCTTGCCTTCTCTTCTCATTGTGCTTTATTCTGATTGATTTACAGCTTTATCCAAGGAACCTTGAGTTATCTTACTAGTTTGCCCAATGGTCAAGATCCTTCCTCAATTGTTCCCTTACATCAACCCAGCACAACACTTCATGTAGGAAACACTCAACAAGTTTTGATTGGTTCATATATTGATAAGAATTGAGAATGGCCAGGTGTGGTGGCTCATGCCTATAATCCCAGCACTTTGGAAGGCTGAGGCGGGTGGATCACTTGAGGCCAGGAGTTCAAGACCAGCTTGACCAACATGGTGAAACCCTAACTCTACTAAAAATACAAAAATTAGCCAGGTGTGGTGACACACACCTGTAATTCCAGCTACTTGAGTGATTGAGGCATGAGAATCACTTAAACCTGGGAGGTGGAGGTTGCAGTGAGCCGAGATCACACCACTGCACTCCAGCCTGGGTGACAGAGTGAGACCCTGTCTGAAAAAAAAAAGAAAAAGAAAAAGAAAGAAAAAACAAATGAAATAATCACACACAGAATTCTTTCCACAAGATGAGTCTTCCACAAACATTCTACAGCTTGCTTAAATCTTAAGTCTTGTCCTATCAGTCTACCCTAGAACAAGAATTTAATTTTTCAACTTTCTATATTCATTTAGTTTTATCCATCATTTTTTTAATCAAAAAAATTTAAAATTAATTTTTAAAACCTTAATTTTAAAAAATTATTTTAAAAAGATCTCCACGCCAGGAAAAATTACTTTCTCTTTAACAGAAGCCAGATTCCCATGCCTTCTTAGAAGCTTTTTTAATATATTTTGCCTATAGAATTGTTTCTCTTATAGCTAGTAGTTTGTTGTTGTTGTTTGGTTTTGTTTTGTCTTGTTTTGTTTTTGAGGCGGAGTTTTGCTCTTGTCGCCCAGACTGGAGTCCAGTGACGCAATCTCAGCTCACTGCAACCTCCGCCTCCTGGGTTCAAGCAATTCTCCTGCCTCAGCCTCCTAAGCAACTGGGATTACAGGCACACACCACCACACCTGGCTAATTTTTTGTGTTTTCAGTACAGATGGCGTTTTGCCATGTTGGGCAGGCTGGTCTTGAACTCCTGACCTCAGGTGATCCACCCGCCTCAGCTTCCCAAAGTAATGGGATTACAGGTGTGAGCCACCGTGCCTCGCCATAGCTAGTATAATTACATATATTAATTGTAACATTACTTCTTAGTAACTCTTATTCTTAGTGAAAAACTGAGGAAGTAAGTAACTCTAATTAAGCACTAGATACAGAGTCCAAGACTAAGGACAATCCCTGGAGCTAGACTTCACCATATCTTAAAGGCCCAAATCCAAAAACATAGTTTACAGACAAGTTAAGTGTCAAAAATTGTCATAAAAACACATTTTATGATCTTAAAATATCTAGCAGAGATAATATCTGAACAATAGTCCTATGGACTTAGACAAAATGTCTAAATTCTGAAGAGGTTTCTATTTTATTTCACCAATAATTTTTAAATTGTCTTTATGTGTTAAAGATTACTAAAGTCACATGAACTTGAAGGTGTTTGAGTTAAGGTTTCTATTTTTCTCATAAAATATTTAAGTGCTTACTTTTTCTGTAAGCCAATTAATTAGAGCTCTTTCACACATTTTGGTAGTGAAACATCACATACACATAACGCATATAAATATATAGACATGCAGACACACAGACAGAAGCAGATCTTATAGAACTATATGATTTATTTACCAGTTTTAAATAGTTGTTTTTATTCACTGTTCCAATTACCTATTTTATTGCTCTAGGCAACTGTTAGCTAGGTAACCCTAAATTTGCATTTCTAAAGTGATAACTTTCCGGTGAAACGAGATAGAGGATTCGCATCTCGAAATATAGAGAGAGACAGGGAATTTAAGCTTTTTAAAGTTGGTTGTGTTAGAAGAAGATTGAAAACATGGATGCCAAGATAACACAAAATTATATAAATTTATCATAGGGTTTTATAAGGTGACCAATTTCATTTAGATAGGTGTTTTTAACTGAGTCTCTTTTTTCTATCTGGACCATTGAATTCAAAGCATAACTCACACTAAATCTTGGATCGCCCAAAAGAGGTAAACACCATGGGGATTAGGACACACCATGTTTTCACTGTGCATTTCGCTGCAAATACATTCCCCCTGAGGCTGGTGGGCAACCTATTGCCAATCAGCCCCCTCTGTGATCAGCCCATTCCCAAGCCATTATACACACCAAAGGCAAGTTTTTCACAATAAAAAGAAATTTCGAGTAACTCCAGAAGCAAAAATTTCTGGTAGTGCAATGCAAAGGAGAGCAGAGTTTTAGATCTGAGAGGATCCTATCCATTTTCAACTCTTGGGATTCCCTGAGGAAAAAAAAATAGCAGTTTCTCCCATAAATGCGTCTGTGGCACCTTTTCTGTTTTTTCTTAAGGAATCCCAGGCTGTTAGAGTTGCTTATTTTGTTTGTTTGTTTGTTTTTGTCTTCTTATGTGGCACTGAGGGTGGCAAGAGGAAGGAAAGGGCAATGGAAACAGAGAGATGGGGGAGTGCACACGACTAGCAGGGCTTTAAGAACAAATTCAGTTGCCTGAGAAATTTTTACAGAGAGAGAGAACAGAGGCCTTAAATCAATAAGTAAATACATACAGAGCCTAAATATCAGTTTTAATTAAGTCAACTTTTGACTATACAGCCCTTTAAAGAAATCCTTTCAAATCTCTTATTATCAGATTTTAGCTGGGACAAACAGTTGATATTTCTGACTTTTGAACTTCTTTACCAAAAGATATCCCCCCAAGTGCCTCAACCAAGGTTATTACATAACCATGGGTACACAAGCTGTCTCCAAAGAGTTGGCAAGTATTTTTTAACAAGATCAAGAATCACCCCAAAGATGGCTCAGCGAAGGAAAGTTTCATTACCAATAAATGGGGTATAAGCCATATTTCTGTCAGGCCATGTTTTTAGAGTCTTACCTTCTCAGTTGACCATCTACACACTAAGGGAGGAGACCACCCCTCATATTGTCTTATGCCCAATTTCTGCCTCCAAAGAAAGAAGAAATAAAAACTAAAAGGCAGAAATGAAATCCACAAGCAGACAGCCCGGTGCCACACCCTGGGCCTAGTAGTTAAAGATCGACCCCTGACCTAATCAGTTATATTATCTACAGATTACAGACATTGTATACAAAAGCACTGTGAAAATCCCCATCCTGTTCTGTTCCATTCTAATTACTGGTGCATGCAGCCCCCAGTCATGTACCCCCTGCTTGCTCAATCGATCACAACCCTCTCACACAGACTCCCTTAGAGTTGTGAGCCCTTAAAAGGGAGAGGAATTGCTCACTCGGGGAGCTTGGTTGTTCAGTCTTACCGAAGCTCCCAGCTGAATAAAGTCCTTCCTTCTTTAATTCAGTGTCTGAGGGATTTTGTCTACGGCTTGTCCTGCTACACATACAAAAGCCCTAAATCCTCATGTACCCCCAAAAGATGAAAAAAGACAGGAAACATAAAGCTAAGGAAGTGGGAAAGATCAATAATAAGTTTCATATTCATGAAATTTACCAGAAGATGCCAATGGGAAGATTATTTTCCTCATTTATCAGCAAACAGATGCAATAACCAATGCAACACAGAGTCAATATTCAGTGAGCTTCCAGAAAGCAACTAAAACTATTCAGCTTTTCATATCATCGTCTGAGCCAACAGAAATATGTTGCAGAGTCTTCTAGCTGTGATGATGATATGAAAAGCTGAATAGTTTTAGAACCCACTGTGAAGAAAATGTTAGAAGAGCCTTACAAAAAGGTCAGAACTCAACCTGAGACAATTGCCTATTCCCACATTCTCAGGAAAAACTCACAAACCTAACCCAGGCATTTGTTAACAGCTGGTGGTTAGGGTGCGTAAGATAAGACCCAGAAAGGAAGTCACTTAGTTCATTCCAGGAAGCACACCCTCACAACTGCCTTAGAAACCATACAGGACCACATGTAAAGGCCATACTGCTTGGATAACATCACATCTCTATTTCTTCCCATGGAGTATGCCATTTTAAAAAGCAACATGTGAAACATGGAATTTTAAAGCTATAATTGATTGTACAGGACTTTATATCTGCTCAACTAAGTCTCTTGAGGAGAACAGTATGGAAGACACTAGGGAAAAAAGCATGCATACAAAATAAAGATTTTTATGGCAGGATCCTTAAAGACTGGCCAGAGAGCTGCAATCTTGGTGAGACTAGTACTTTGGACTATGTAGAACAGCAGCCTATTCTGGATCAGATGCATTTTTCTATCTCCTTGGCTAAACTTCACTCTAATCCTTGCCAACTCCAGCTTGGCTTATCATGCTTTTTGATTCTCATGTTCC